ATTCTTCATAACTTTGGTAAAAATTAAGATATTTGAAAAAAACAAAAATTCGTTTTGAACTTAAGAGATGTGACTATTGATTCCCAGAAGGGGGCAGGAGAAATCCCAAAATTTTACATATGGCGGAAGGGCAAAGTGCACCGCAAGCCTAATTTCATTGTTTGCCTATAACGGCCAAACTATTTAAAGTTTTTTAATGCCACTTACAGAGCTTACTCTTAAATATGAAATCTTATACGTGTGTGAGTTTTACCAAAATCGGATTATAACTGGCCAAGATATCAAACAATTTAACAAATTTTTTTCCCTAAAAAATAACTAAATTTTTTTCGAAAGTTTGAAGTGGCACAAAAATGCCAAACATGCACCTAATGACTCAAAACTTTTTTTTTAAATACTCTATTATGTCTAGAATACGATTACATTACGGAAAATTCTGCAAAAGTATTTTATCTATTTTTTTGACCACTGTTCATTGAGTGACGACCAAAAAATACGGTTTTTGAGAAAAGTTGCCTAAAATTGACGATTTTCAGTTTTTTGGTCAGAAAATTGAGCAAACCCAAATCTCATGTCTTCTGAATGTGTATACAAAGTTTAAAGTGTGTATGTTTCTTCTAAGTTGTAGAATTCTCCCGACAAATGTCCCATTACACGCGCTCCGCGGGATCCAAATCTCGTGCATTTCGCTAATTTGATTTTTTTGTGATTTCCAGTTTTAAATTTCTTACATACCTGAATTTATTAGGCCTAAAATTTATTAAATTGTATTTTACGGCGTTCGCTATCCGACAAGTTTAAACTTGAAACGGTCATATTATTACAAATTGAATCGCTTGATAATGTTCATCGGCATAGATTTTTAATAACTGCATTTAGCAAGCTCTGCTTACACGTGGTTTTTCGGACTTCTTCAGCAATTTATTGAGTAAGTGCGTTCTTAAATTAAGAAAAATCTATCACAGTGCTATAATTTTTTTGTTTCCAGGTTGCAATAGCTGACCTGTGTTTATTATGTCATCAGAAACTTGCAGAGGGTGAACTTACCCAATTAAACCGACAGGATTGAAAGGTCTGCAGATGGTCAGCAAAGAGAGAGGGGATGATTATTTCAGTTCTTTATAACCAGGTTTTATATTGCATGAGGGGTATCGCAAACATTACGTAGCTCGACGTTACGGAAAAGAGTTTATTTATAAAACCTGGGATAGGAATAAAAGGGCCGCGATTGACAATGCCAAAAAAAAGGAGGATGAAGCATCAACCGAGAAAAAAATCAGATGTTAGAGAACAAAAAACAAGCTTATCACCAAGTTGGAACTTACACTCAAGCTTAGGATTAATTTCCTAACATTTTTAAAGTATACCTTTTTGTATATTTTTTTTGTGCTCTTTCCGATGGCGCAGTTAGTTTCTTCAAATATATTTTTTGTTAGATGTTTTCGGAAAACCCGGAGAAAACCATATGGAAAAAAAATTTAAAAAAAATTACGCCTTCCGGTTTCCTGCGAATTCCCGAAAAATTATGGCAGATTTCGCCGCGGGACTTATTTTATTTGAGAGCCCACAAAAAAATACGCAATTTCTCTCATGCGCACATTTATAATTTCGCCACAAATTCATCGCAAATTTCATGTTCATGATTCTGATCAAAGAAACGAAAAAACAACTTTTTGGTAAAAGCACTTCTGGCGGCGAGAAATTCGCCAATAAAACTACCTGTGCAATGAAATTTTTGCCTCCTCTTTCGATTGGTGCATTTATTTTTACTATCAGAATGATACTTGCCCAGATAATTAGCATTTTTACCATGGAAAATTCCGGAAAACCTGGTTTTTCCTAATTTAAAAAAAATTGAAAAACAGCTACATCATTTTTTTCTTTTTTTTTTCGGAAAGATCACATCAAAATACACAAGGTCCACTTTGTTTCATCCAATTACAAAGCTCGAAGGGGCTTTTTTTCGTTGTTTAATTGGACTACTATTATTATTAATACTCTTAGAGATAAATGGATCAACATTTTAAATATTTGTGGTCAAAATCGAAATCTGTGAAGCCAATTTACAAAGAGATAGAACCTCATCATAGTTTTACTCATAAAGATTATGATGAAAAAGACGAATGATTTGTGATCAAAAAGAAATTGTTCAATTTTTTTATTCATTATTATATTTATCAAGTTATACCCAAATATGATATTTATGTCAACTTGTTAATTTTTGTATGTTCACCTATTAAGATCATAAATCAGAAGTTTTCTATTTTTATTGAAATTTTTATTTTGATTGATATTTATATCCTTTATTATTGCCTTTATTTTTGTTTTATTTTAGATATTCCTGGGTATGGAGGTTTTTGGAATATGCATAAATATCCATCTGAATTAGGGTGTGTTTCATAGCCCAGATGTACCGAAGCTGGAGGCTTATTATACCCGGAATAGGCATTACAACTACTCTAGATTGAAATAAATGGGTAAATGTCGTAAAGGGATAATAAGTATCAGAATAGTAGAATTAGAATGATTTATCCTTGGATTAATAAGTCAGTATTAGGGATATTTAAAACAATTGTGTTTATAAATTAATTACTTTGACTTTTTATAAACTATATCTGGTCTTTTTAATAAAAAACCATTATCATGTGCTATATTAGGCTAGTTATCGTATTATATTTTTATTTTACAGTAATTTAGTGTGTGATATAGTGCTTATGTTATGTTCAGAATATGCAGTTAGAAGATAATGAGACACATGTATTTACATGGTAATTCTAAATAAATTAAACTTGGTGAAAATGTGTTTTATTTTTCACCTAATTTTATTTTTCAGTTAAAACAAGTGACATTTTCCATTTTTCAAAATTTACCTACAACAAAAATAAACTAAACTTATTGTTTGTTTAGTAGTTGTAAGTAAAAGCTGTCAAATGGAAAAATGTTACTTCAAATCGTTTCAACTTTCTAAATTATGAAGCTGCCGCCACTTTTTAAATCGCTTTACTTAGTAGTGTCCTACTTTATCGACTGAAACCGACAGGTGTAGTTCAACTGTAAGCACTGTCGAGGTCAAGCAAACTAGTTAGCAACTATTTACATGGAATCCGACCCCCGTGATTTCCTGCGGCATTACGAATCCTTTCTTTATATACCTAGTCTAATGTAAGAACAATTAAAAATCAGATTTATGAATGAATTAGATGTGGATAGATGCGTATCGATGACAAAATTTGTTCAATTAATATTAAATTTTCCAATGCTGGAAAACCGAACTCTTGAATGTAAATTTTGTTATAGAGGAAAAACTCAAATTTGAGATAGGCGCCTAATATGAGATATTTATCTAACATCTAATATATGTGCAGCCATCTCGTAAAAATAGCAGAAGCTGTATAAATGTAACGTATTTATTAATGTGCTGCATTTTTCTTTTCCTGTCGGCCGTTGTTTGGTAAACAAGATTATTTACGTTTGGAATTTTTTTGGCGAAATTAAAAAAGAACAGAAAAAGCAAGGTAAGATAATAGCAATGCGCTTTTTGATTATTGGGGGGTTACGTCATATTAAGTTCTATTATTTTTTGACAATCATTTCCTTAATTGTCCAAGACCTAGCCTAGAAATTAATTATAACTTTTTTTAACTAACATTCCTAATTTGAGATACCATATCTCAAATAAGGATCCGAAAACAACTAATAACATTTGACAATACTATTTTTTTTTCAAGAATATTTTCATAAAATCAACGCTTTAAATGGCTTTTAAAGTGCATTTAAAAAAACCTGTGGTTACCCTAAGTGAGGTGGGGAGAGCCCCCATTTTTCGCATAGAGTCCGGGCACCCGAAGCAATTTTTAAGTTCCGGCACCAATGTTTGGACCCTCTCATGTCTCAAATTAAGGAATCCTCTTTTTGTTTTAAGAAAATATAATATGTGCCTAAAACGATTTTATTTTAAGTAAGGATAACGTTCATTAATATTTTTTTATTTTCAAAGGGGGTTTACATTGCTTTTTAGGAAATACACTTTTTTTTAATATTTTTTTATTTTTTTTTAAAAGTATCTCTAATAATATTTATTATTTTAACCTTTATGACGTTCAAAAAATATATAGCTGTAAAAAATTTTAAATTCCAGTGCAATTCTAATCGTTGGAACATAATATTTTAAAACAGATTATTAATTATTAATATAATTAATATTTTTTTAGACCCTTAAATCTTTACACGAATATATTATACCTAAAGAATTATTATTGATAATGCAAACAATAGCGCCTGATACTAACAGGTGCAAATTTTCCAGAAATATCATAAATAAAATTTTATATTGATCAGTTTCTACTAAGTGTCCATTGATTTTATACATATTTTATACATATAATAGTATAAAGACCCAATAAATAAACTGCTATTATATCTTCATTTCCTTTAATCCTTTTCCATAAATTCAATAGACAATCCAATAATTTGATGACAATATGGAACTATTTATATAAGGCGATTCACAAAAAAGTAAAACTTGGAACAATTTACGCAAAGCGAAGCTTACAATTCTTCTTCTTTTTAAGTGTCAATCTGATTTAATTTAGAAACCGTGCGTAGTTATCATGAGTCGTATGACTCGTATCATTCTTTTACCGCAAAGGGAAAGTAACATGCCCTATAAGTGAGTGACATACTCAGTGAATTACATTTTTTAAAATAATATATAAACCAAATAATGGGGTGGCACACTTTAAAGTGATACACACTATATGATAAGCAAGTTAATTACTCGCTACTCCTCTGTTGTCGTACTTGTTTATACATACTTTACTATGTCTTTTTAAGCTACTTTTATTAGATGCTTTATTCACGTCTTCATTTTATATTTATTTTCATTAATAAACATAATTTCTGTAAATTTTATAAGTATAAACGAGGTATAAACTGAATAAGCGCGTTAACCAGCTGCTTCCTGTCGTTAATCAAAACAAATAAATCAACAGTTCGCTTACCGCCTGTATCTTGAGCATAAAGGGGGACACAGGATCGGGCCCAGAGGATCAGCAGGAGCAGGAGCGCCTCCCGCAGAGGTGCTCTCTGCCGGCCCTGCTTCATGGTCACTCAACACGCTCACATGGTCGGTAGGCACCCATTCGGCCCAACATGCTGCAAAGCACTGACGTGCCGTCGCCGATCAGACGCCAGGCATCGGGACGCTCTCGTCGCCGAAGACGCCACCGCAGTAGTTGCACGATGCAGAAGCGCAATGTCGCACTGCGCATTGCGATATCTGGATCAAGTGAGCGTGTTTTAATAGGGTATTATTATTTTTGAAAAATATTTGAATGAACCTCTACATTTTCAACAAATGGGTAATGGAAATAAAATTTTGGTTTACAATATTGATAAGATCAACGATATCTCACTAACACTTTCGTAATAATAATTTTGTTTATTTGGGAGATCTAGAAATGTCTTTCGAATGGCTGAGGCTGATCAAAGGAGCCAGAATGATGTATGAACGTGGTTTGATAACAGTCTTCGGAGTCTGAAATAATAAACATGAAAAAAATACTACATTTTTACTTACGAATGATGTAGCACAGACATGGGTGCAAAAAGAAATCTGATCGGTAGTGTAAACCAACAAAAAATCCTTACAAATTAAAAATTTGTTAGTAATATTGCTACTGTTAGTACTGTTTGTTCAAAATGTTCTTAAAAATAAAACTATTCCATAATTTACAGAATAATACACTGCTACACATTCTTCACCTTAAAAAACAAAATAATTTAATTAGGTTTAATGACAGATAACCTTTAGAAATTAAATAATGTAAATTATTAGTCCATTTAAAATAACGGTAAAAGGTGGAGAAACGCAGCACTTGACGAAACCACTTGTCACCTACGTATTTTGGGGCGCTGATTACGAAAATAAGGGTTAAAACTGGCAGCAATGGTTGAAAAACTCCTAAAATTGCAAAAAAAAACACCCATAAATAGGGTTTTTTCGACTATACTTGTTGTTTTGGGGTGTTTTTTGCAATTTTATGGGTGTTCCAACCATTGCTGCCAGTTTTAACCCTAATTTTCGTAATCAGCGCCCCAAAATACGTAGAGGACATGTGGTCTCGTCAAGTGCGGTGTTTCTAGACCTTTTACCGTTATTTTAAATGGACTATATTTGAGAAACTCAGAAGTATTATAATATAATAATTAATTAATTTTCTTAAAAGAGGCCCTTGGTTGAGTTGCTGCTAGGAAACGGCACTCGAAAACGGGGTATGCTCAACATACAGTGTGGAACAGCCAAATGGAATGAATTCGGTAATAAATAAATGGGGGTGGGTTCGGAAAAACGCTCGGACACATCTATTGGTATTTTTATTTTCACATTTTTTTAACGAATACTTTTTATACAGGGTGTGTCATGTGGCCAATACCAACTTTTTTTTGGATTTTTGGATTTTTCAGAAAATTCTAGACATATTTTATGTTTCAGAAATATTAAATGTTTTATTGCAAAAATCCGTTACAACGCACTGACAAACTAATAAGTAATACTGTTTATTTCTTAATAGTGTAACAAACAAAATATATCTCACTGTAGAATATGTTCAAAATGCTTGACGCGAACCTCTTGGCAACATCCTAATCTGAAATAAAAATGTCTTCTAACGTTACTTAACATCTCAGGCGTGACCAATCTAATCCAAGCGTTATTCACTTTCTTAAGTTAGCTAGGTCGAGAGGTTTAGTTTTGTACACAATACTTTTGACATATCCCCATAAGAAAAAGTCTAATGATGTCAGATCAGGGGATCGATCATTGCCTTCCTATTCACCGATTTGGAAATACTCGATTGAGGTAACGCAGAACATTGATTTCGTAATGGAACGGTGTTCCATCTTGCTGAAACCATATCATATTCGCTGGAACTTTTGGGTTTGCTGGATCGGGATATAAGTTCGTTAAAGTTGACACGACATTATTTTGGAGCAGGGCTAAATAATTATCGCCATTCAAATTGCCATCAATGAAAAAGGGACCTATGATATTATCGCCAACAATTCCTGCCCAAACATTAACCATTTCAGGGGAAGATTTTCCCCAGACCAATAGCGGCAATTTAAACGATAAGCATGACCATGTCCATCAGAAAACAAAACATGTTTTATTGGATTACCATATTATCTAACATTGCCATCATTTGTTCACACAATTGCATTCTCCTATCAAAATCGTCTTCCCTGAGCTCCTGAGTTGCTATTCTTTTATAGAGATGCATTTTATTTTCTTTTTATGTTCAAATAATCGATAATGACTAATATCGAACATTGGGGCTACTCTGCGACTAGAAGTATGTGGGTTTTCCTAAAACTTAAGCATAATATCCAATTTGGTATCATTACCCATGCAACATCATGCCATCATTATGACGTGATTTTTTGGTGGCCGTTACTTTTGTTGCCATCAAACGGGCTACATTTTGTTCCAGTTTTGTTTTCGGTACTTTTCCACTGGTTGTCGCGAGGAAGTCAGAACACATTTTTTTAGTATTTTATTTATATTTGTATATTTATTTTTTAAGATGGGTTCAACCTGAAAATACATATAAAAGTAGTTTAAAAGATGAATGTGATATCATAAAAACCTAAAAAGAACAATACTTGGACTAAACACTCTAACACACAAATATGTATTGTACCACAGTTTAAAGATAATATTCTTTAAACTGTGATTCTACTAATTAATTTACTTATATAATATAGATTAGAATTAATTAGGACTGTAGGCCATGTGATCTCTTCCACCTCGACCTTTTCAGATTTATTGTGGATATCCTTCAATCATTGTTTAGACAACCTTGTCTAATTCGGTCTTTTACAGTAGACTCCGTAGACTGGAAAGTAGTTATCCGGTATAGCTAGTTGCCCTTAGTTTTTCTTCTTCAAGTGTAAGGAATTTTAGTCTTGCTAGACCTTAGCAGTAGCACAATACGTGTTCTGCCTTTTGATGTTACCGCTTCGCGGGACTCAAAAAACAAAACTCCAACTGTCGTAAAACACGCCAGTCTTTAAAAGGTTTGCGAAAAGTGGGAGTTTTGTTTTTTTGACACGGGTTTGTGTTTTGTTTTTGTTTTATCCGTTTAGTGGAAAATCGCCATTATGTTATATTTCATACCTGGTAACAGCTTTTTTTCTTTATAAAGGCGGCCAAAGACTTGTTTTTTTACGCGGCATCAGCCATTTTCTGCTCACCTCACAACCGCCAGACCGTCATCATCCGGCTTTTCAAACTCAACAATGCAAAACATCTGTAAAATACCAAATTCGGATTAATATACTTTATTATTATTTTATCACATTCCATTTTTTACCTTTTTATAAAACATCTTATCAAATGAAGTACAATTTAAAAATTCATCACGTTAACGACGTCACGACTGTCACGAGAATCATGGAGATGAAGAAAACAGGAAACGACAATGACAATTGACAATATGACATTGCCAGAATATTTTTTAGTTTAGTGCTAGATTGGTATACATAATTGTATCAGATTTCATAAAAATATACTGGGATCGGTTTCCTCCCTGGTTGTCTTAGGCATGTTATCAATTGTTTAGGATTTATTAGGCCTTTACGGTACTTTTTCTAGTTTTACTTATATTAATTACACTAAACGATAGCGAACAATGTACAGAATTTCGTTTCTAGTCTACCTGTTACCTTTATGATGTACTAGATACAGTACAATTGTACTAGATTAGAAACACTCATTGTCAATTGAGATGAAAGGACATCGGAATTGTGTTAGCCATACTTTAAAAGAGACAGGCAACAAAATATTGAACGATTAATACTAGAAAAAAACGTTACTAATTATCCATATTAAAACATAAGGCACCGTAAAAAATGTACAAACTGCAGTTCGAACAAGTTTAATCCATACGTGTTTTCAGTTAAAGCATATTTCCAATTAGGTTCTTTATAATTCAACACTTAAGTATTAACATATACGATAAATTATGACGAATTCTAAGTGACGTCTATTTTACGTCATCAGTGCGACGTCAAATACACGTTACTGATTAGGATATTGTATTTCGGATAAATAAAAATTAACAAAATTACGTCATAATGACGAGTCTGTATTGAAGTCTAATTCACGTTGCAAAAACGACGTCAAAGTAACGTTTTTAATGGGGATAATGACGTTTATTACGAGTAAATTCCAAAAAATACGTCATAATGACGACACCTTGCTGCCTGGCAGCTGTTTTTTATCTGTCTTACATGTCCAAGCTCGTGAAACTGCTTCTCTATTTTACTAATTGTTTCTTGGGATATAGGCGGCAAATTTGGAAATTTTTCAAGAAATAACCGAGCAACTTCCATTTGTGTCCGTGTATTATCTCCATAACCAATAATCTGTAGAATTGTTACTTTTTGTATTTCTGTTAAATGAACCATTTTTCTGATATGCGGTTAAGAAAGGATAACAATTAGATAAGGTCAGACGTTAAAAAAAAATGAAAACAAAACTAGTTAGGTATAGTACAGTAAAAAGGAATGCTGAAATGGTTTTTGCTTACTTTTTCATTATCAAGACCTAGGGGAAATAAGTATTGAGAGTATTGTAGTTAGGAATAGGATGTAGCACATAAAATATATCTACAATTTTTGCAATAAAACATTTAATATTTCTGAAACAGTTAGGTATAGGACATAGTACATAAAACATGTCTAGAATTTTCTGAAGAATCCAAAAATCCAAAAATTGTAAACCATGCAGGGAGTTGCATTTAAAATAAGAATGTTGGTATTTGCCACTGTTATATAGCACACTGTATAAAAAGTTTTTGTTAAAAAAATGCGCAACTACAAATACCAATCGACGTGTCTGAGCGTTTTTTCGGACACGCCCCCATTTATGTATTACCGAATTTATTCCATTTAGCTGTTCCACACAGTAGAATAAATTGTTATAAATCTATAAATTGACACATTATTTCAACGTATAAGTTGTTATAACTCGAGAACGGAAAAGATATCAACACGCAGTTTTCACTAGACTTCCTATATGTTCTTCAAGTTTCTTTTGACAT